TCAGTACCGTACTGTAGTGCAATACTGCTGTTGTCTGTACCATGTTGAATAATAATATGCTCCGGCCACCACTTTAAATATTTTAATGTCAATACAGCAGCATTCAATTCACTTTTTATTCATCAAATACTCTATTAATCGAAATATGAATAGATGGATTATGTTAGGCAGGTTTGCCTTCTGTACACTTTTGCCACTTGAAGAGTTGTTTGTAATTTGAAGTAGTTGTGAATTAATCTGAATTGATAATTAATGATAGCAGGAGACTTAGCCCGAAAGAAATGGGCAAACATATGGGATACTTTCAACAGCTGCAGAAAGAAGGCTTCCTCAAGGAGTGGCGATGCTGCCAAAGTAATCAAACAATATAGATTTGCAGGAATTTTGACATTTCTTACGCCGTACTTACAAAGAAGGAGTAAGTTCAAGCTAATTTAAAACCAATCAGTCCATCCATCAATATATCAATCTATCAATCAACCAATCAATCAATCAATCAATCAATCAATCCAAATTTTAAATGTACATTTCCAATTGGTACATTCAAAGTGCTTTGCATGTAAAGAGTAAAATACATTTGAACTAACCACAAATATACACTGTTCAGTTTAATAGGCCTATTGCAAGGTAACACACATTATCAAAAAGGGTAAATTATTTGTTAATTTATTTCCAGAAAAAAAGAAAATACGGTATGTATTTATGCCAAAATCATTGCATGCTTAACAATGGCATTAACAATAACAAGAAGTAAACATCAAGAATTGCATCACACATGTCTCAATAGGAAAATATAACAAGAATTGGATATGTTACAGCAAATGGACAAAATATGAGAATTAATGTATATCCATTTTATTCGTTGTTTCCATCATAGGACTTCAAGTAACCTCGATGTAGAACTAGCCAACACTGAAATAAGTGATGAGAAAACTTTCGACAGCATTGTAGACAACATAACAGAAGAAAGCTTTCGATTTGATTATAATGATGATGATTACCACCAATCGCAACAGCCCCATGAGCAGCAACAACAACCACCACAGCAGATGCAACAACAAAAAAACAACAAAGATGAAGAGATGACAATGCCA